AGTGAGGACATGCAATTTCTTGACTACCTGGGATTCCAACACGCTACTTGCATATTTCCCAGCCTCTTACAAGAGCCACTGCAAGAGCAAGCTGTGTTCTGGCCCACCAGGTAACACCACCCCCGACGCCTGCTCCAGGGAACTACCTTAGAATGGAAAACAGCACAATGCCCAGCGCAGGCACCAGTGCAGCAAACAAAAGGCTGAGTATGCGTCTCCTAATGGGCTACTTCTGGTCTTGTCAGAGTCAAAATTCCCTGGACAGAGTCCAATACGCATGCACCGAGCATCAGCAGATTAATAGGGTCTCTCTCTAAAATTCATGACTTTTTTTAATGGGAGAAATTATCTACTACAGGGGGAATAAAATAACAGTGTCATATACTTTAAGGCATTGGTGGTATGCAAATGTTACAGAAAGACAAGCTATTTTCTAATAGCATTTACTATATTTCAAGTACGGCACGAGTACATTTACATGGGCCTGAGGCACTTTATTCGAAGGCTTTACGTTTCCAATACCTTCCTCAAGAATTACCCTCAGGCCTAAAATTATTTTGCTTTGACTAAGCCCTAAGCACCTGGACTAAATTTAGTTTCTTGGAAATAAGAATTTTTGTTAATTCTGTCTGTTATTGGATACTTCTACAAATAGCAAACAAATGATAGGAGACAGAAAAAATGAAAACATTTTTCAGGTTCTTTTTAGTGGTATAGTAGTTATCGTTAAAATATAATTTCAATTAAAACATCAAAATTGTTACCTGATTTTCAGTTAGAAATGAGAGCTTTGCCGAATACTTTGGGGGGTGGTAAAAGAATCAAATCAACATTAAAAAGTCAAATTTAAAGAAATCTTTACTTGAGTTATTAATAGAAACAGCCCTTCTTGAAACAAAGAAAAAAATCCAATTAATTTTCTTAAACCAGAAGAGCAGCACACCTTCTCCGAATCACTTGGATTGTGAGCCACCGGCCATCGATTTTGTTTTATCAGGCCCACTTTGGGGATCCCATCATTGGGTGGATGGGGCTGTTTTCTAACACCATGAGGAAAAGAGAATAGGGGCTTAAGAGCCCAGAACCAGAACTTGTACTGGGCCCCTGTGAAGGCAACTGGCCCTAGAGAATCTATGAGTTGGGTGGTCCCCAGCACAGGAGCCCTCAACACAGCCCTCTCCCTCTCCCATCTCTGCACTGTCCCCAACTTCTCTGAATATTTTTAGGGGAAGAGAGCCCACTGCCTTGCTTTGGAAAATAAGCCCCTCCACCATGCTAAGAAGAAGGTCAAGCAGGATGGAAACTTCCCCAAATCTTCAGCATGTCCAAGGCAAGAGCTTTCCCCATGATTATGCACGTGTCTTGCCTAAGAAAACCTAGAGTACCCAACTCACTCAAAAATTGAATTTTTTTCCTTATGATCCACAAAGGTCCCATCCGAATTCCTACTGTTGAAGAAACAATCTCTGCACTGGCAAATGATTCCTTAACCAACAGCACTGCAGCCATTTGGTGCAAACACCCATCGGATGGACACGCCCCACCAGGATGCCCTGCGTCCAGCAAGAGGCACCTCCTATGCCCCATATGGTGCCCTCCAAGGGCAGAGTGTGTGTGATTTCCCTCGGAAGTGGTTCTTCCTTTTGCACCTCCACAATTACACGAGACCCCTTGAAGTTCTCTGAGGACAAAGGTCTAGGGATGAGCCACGGAAGCTCCGGAAGGTGGGGCGGGGGAGCTCCCACTGCAAACATCCCCGACCTCACTGCATCATCCTCCAGCACAGACCCAGGCGGTCCGTGGAGTTTAATGGTATGGAAGAAGCAAGAGGTGGGCAGTTCCCGGAGCCATCCCATTCCATTTTTATCCTGGCACTGAACAGCCTTGCTATCTTGGGCCAAATATTTCACCTCCTTAATCTCATCTGCAAAAAAGTATCATCTCCCTTGTGTGGCTATTGTAAAGATTAAATGAGCTCATATATGTTAAAAAGTCTGTGAATTTGTAAAGCACTACACAAATTCTGTCAACTGTTATTTAACATGAGGACATTTGCTCATAGAGCTAGGTCCCCAAGCAAACTCAAGAAGACTGAAATCATTTGGCCATATTTACATGGAGCCAAGCAAAGGACAAAAAAATCAATAGACTTGGTATTCTTCCTCTAGCTCCCAAATGCCATCCCTCAATAGGCCGCTTCAGAATCACATGGGCCCTGGTAAAAATACTAATTTTAGGATCTTCTCCCAAACCCACAGAACCATAATCTCTTCAATAAGCCCAAGAATCTGCATGTTAAACAAGCTCTCCAGGTGAGTCAGCCATGTAGGCAGGTTTGGGTACCACTGTGCTGCTTTGGACGTGATATTCAAATTTCCTGTACATATCAGTCATAGGGAATAAAAGTGTTATCTAAGAAGGGGTCTCCCTTTGTCTCTCTTCCTATCAGTACATACACACTAAGATACAGAGGGACGTCCATCCACCAGACACAAATACACACAACACATACATGCAGACACACAAAGCCACACATACGGGTGAAAAATAGGAAATAGAAAATACTAACAAAAAAGGCCACTTAATAATAAGAAGTGTCAAGATTGTAGAAGTCTATAGAATTGTGGTTCTAGGAGGATACGGAAAATGGGGGCAAGGAGTAGGATGTTAAGACAAAGGTGGTCGGAACTGGAAAAGCGCCTTGTGGGTGACTGCGCAGAACTGTGTGTGGACTCCTGACACTAGACCACTCCCCCCACCTCACAGCACCTGCATCTGTTTATAGTCCTGCCTCGGCCAGGAATGTATGAGAGACCCCCTGTGCCAAAGGGCAGGGATGCAGCGCACGCACCCTAGCAGCCCCCCAACCTAGCACGGAGCCTGGCGTACACAGAGCCTGCCACAAATGCGCGTTGAGCGCACGCCAGGATAAACAGAGGCAGGGAAGGAGGAGAGACAAAATGCACAAGGAAGGAAGCAGATTGCTTGTCCCGGATCCCTAGTGTAAAGTAAGAATAAGTAAGCTTAAGGTAATGAGGTTCAACGCAAAACAGAGAGGGTTCACCTCCCTGTAGGCATCATTAACGACATCAGAAGGAGCAGAACCACCAAGGGGAAAAGAAGAGAAACTCCAGATCTGTGGGCAGGGTCTGAGGTGAGTGAGAAAATCGATTCGGTGCTATAAAGACTATTCGAAGTCCCCAGTGTGACCTCACCACTTTTCTGCTTGACACCCCTCCATGGCCCCTCACACCCACAAGGCCCTACCCGACTTGGCCCTTACACACCTTCCCAGCCTTCACCCCTCCAACCTCCACACGCTTTGAGCTCAAATTATGGCACACTCACACATTCCTCTGAGCCTGTTTTGAGCAGTTAATCTCTACCTCAAATGTCCTCGCTACCCACTGGCAAACCCATTCATCCTTCTCAACTCAGTTCTGTTATGTCCTCCTCCTCCAGGAAGCCCCCAGGTTCCCACGACACCCAGTGCATTGAACCATCTTAGCCCTGAACACACTGCACGTCCTAGTCCAATGATGAGTGAGTCCCCCAGACCCAGGGAATAAGTTCTGCATCTCTGTAACCATAGCACCAAGCACATTGCCTGAGCACACGGTAGGTGGTAAATAAATGCTCATTGAAATCAACTGAGCATTGGTAAGATTCCAAAACATAAATGCCAGAAGACTTAGTTAAAGGGGAAATCTGAAGCAACTTGATATAATGGAAAGATTCTGAGTGTGGAGGTTTGAGTTCAAACCAGTAGAGTGGCCTAAGACAAGTTATTTAAAGATTCTGAACCTGTTTCCTAATCTATGAAATGACCATAACGCCACCCAACTCCAACCACTTAGGAAGAAAGCACCCACTATGCACCTGGCACGCAGTAGGCCCTCTGTAGTGTACTTGCTAGGGGGACTCCCCCGCACCACACCCCCATGTGTCTGGGCCTCCCACTTCCAACCACAGCTCTTCCAGAGCTTTGGCCCAGCCCCTGGAGGACTGCTCTGGACCCAGGTCACGAACGCTGTCTGGCTAGCCCGGACGTACCCCAGAGGCCTCCTTCCTTGGCCCCGGACAAAGCTGTGGAAGAGGAGAGGGAAGGTTCTCACATCAAGTAAAACTATGATCAAATGAACTTGCATGCCTTTTCTCCTGTTGGTCTGCCTTTTGTCATTTGATTTTCAGAGAACGTTTGGAGACCAATGGGGAAGTTTTCCCTTAGTTCCTGCAGGGCTCTGAATCTGAAGGCAAGAGTGAGCCTATAGAGGGAACCTTCTGGCCCGCTCGGATGAACCGACTGGGCAGGAGTTGGAAAAGCCACTTGGATTCGCATTTTTTCAGCTCCCCACCAACACCAAGGCGTCTGTTTCTACAGGCTCTTTAGTGGTGTTCTGGACGCATTCAACTTCCAATGCAGCTGAGGGGCTCGGGAACAAAGAGCAGAGGTGACAACAGGCCGGGTGGGCCAGGGCGGCAGCCACCCGGGAGGCTGCAGGGCACTCGCCCGCGATGCCCACGCGCGCGCGGCGCACCCGGCCTCCGGCCTCCGGGTGTCAGGCCTGGCAGCTGCGGGAAGGAGGTCAGCGCAACCGCCAGACTTCTCGCGGGCGCCCGCACCGGCCGGCCGTGCCACTCGCTCCCAACGGCCGGCGACTCTCCGGCGGCGCCCGCGGACCGCCAGCCCCTGGGCGGCCAGTCAGCAGCGGCCCCGCCGCCCCGGGACCCCCGCGAGCCGCTCAAGTTGGGAGCCCCACTCCGCCCCGAGCGCGCGCGCCCACCACCCACACCCACAGCCACTTACGCACAGCGCGGGTCCCAAGATGCCCTAGAGCTTTTTAAATCCAGAAACATCACACAGTAGCCGCATCCGGCGCCTGTTACCTGCTCGCAGCACCCAGACCCCCCGCCCTGGCTTCCCGGGAGCCCGCAAACCCAGCGCGCGGGCTGTGCGCCCTCCCGCAAGCCACAGCCCCGCGCGCCGCCAAACCGCACACCTTGGGGGTCTGCACTTCAGGTCCCGTCGGCACCTCCAACTTCCTCTTGGTTACCCAGAAGAACAGCAGCACGGTGATCCAGAGCACCCCGAAGATCGGCAGCACCAGGCGGCGAGTCAGGCGCCGCATGGTCCCCTTTGCCTCCTTCTCTCCGCGGCGCAGCGTCCCTGGGGCACCCCCCGGCGGTCAGGGTTGGCGGGGCAGGAGTCCCGGAGAGCGCCTGCCTCTGGGGCGCGCTTGCCCCGGGAGCCGGGTGGAGAGCGGCGGGACCCCGCAAGCGCCCCGCCCGCTTCGGAGAGAAGCGAGTCCGGGCGGGGGGCGCAGGACGCCCCGAGACGCGGCAGGGAAGGGCCGAGGGGCAGCCAAGCTGGACGCCCGCTCCAGCGGGAGAAACGCGGTGGCCGCGGAGATGCTCCCCACGCCGCCGCCGCTGCCGCTGCCAGTGCCTTGCCCGCCACCTCCGAGAGGGAAACTGACTCCGGGAGGAAGCAATCCGAGGCTGTGCCGAGCACCCCGGGAGGAGCACGAGGGAGGAGGGAGCAAGGGGGGAGGGCGGGCCCGACAGACAGACCGACTGAGAGGGAGCCGGGGCGGGAGCGAGCGGGGCTCTGCGAGGGGGCGCTACTGCCGCCCGCCGACTGAGACGCACGGTGCTGCTGTGGGGCCGCCCGCGCCGAGCCCTGGGCGCAGCTCCCGGGCCACCGTGGGTTGGGGTGGGTTGGGGCGGGACGGGAACGGTGCGCCCGCGTTGCCCGCCCCCCCCCAGCTGCCGGCTAGGACCATAGAAGGGCCGACCCTCGTCAGGTGGGGCTGTGCCTGGGAGGACTTTTCCGCTCACCGCAGGGGGCGGGGGACCAGCAAGTGGCTCTCACACCAGGGTCCCGCCCTCAAGGTGCCCACCTTCCGGAAGCCAGGGCTGGGATGTTGGGGCGCCACCCGGCTGCTGCCCCAACCCCGAATTCACTCGCCTGACCACTCAGGGCCAAGGCTGAGTGCAGTCAACTCCCCAGGGTGTTTGTATGCCTGCCTGCAGGTGCCTGGCAACTTTTTCTGCTTAATGGAAAGCTCAGCTGGTCTAAATTTAACTTTAAAGATACCCTTTTAAAAATTAAGGTGCAATTATCTCCCATAAGGGTTTTCTCTCCCTGCCAAGCATCAGAGCTTTGTACTTGCAAGAAAGTGGGTCCAAAGTTGAGCCAACTACACGGGGTTCTTGGAGAGTGACCCTGGGCAGGGAGATACTGGATACAGAGGGTTCTCTTTCAAAAACCCGCTTTCCCAAATGTCTTTGAGAATTGCATCCTCCTCCCACTCGGGTGTAGAGGCAGAGCAAATTCTAAGTCCATTCCCATGCAGGCCTCAGGTAGGCTGGAGTAGTGGCCATATCACTGGGACCAGGGAGTCCTGACCCAGCTCAGCCACACTGGCCATGTGAATCTTGCGTAAGTCATTTACCTTCCCTCAGCCTTAGACGCCTCATCTGTAAAATGGGGAGGATAATACCTCTTCTGACAAGCAGTTGTGAAAGCTGAAGGCCGGGTACTGGTGGTGTCCAAGTACTCAAAAAGGGAAGCAAAAACATTGTTCTGCCTAGGGAGCATTACAGCGGGAACTGTGTAATTTTAGATGGAGGGTTGCTAGCCTCATCAAGTTTTTTGGGGAGGTGGAAATGATGCCCCCACTGCCGCAGCCACCATCCTCCTGCCTCTGTCTCCTGGCAGAGCTCAGTATGGGGAAGCTCCCATACCTGAGTGCAGGTGAGACAGCTGTGAATAAGGGCTCTGGAATCCTTTCTCTAATAAGATGGCGCCCCCAAGACTTGTACTGAGAAATGAAAGCATCTACTCAAAAGCCTCCTGTGCTTGGTACCTTATCTTTCAGCCACAAGGCAAGTCCTGCCTCCCAACACAAAGAGTTCTTGACCAGGCTGTAGATAAGAAGTTTTTGGTCAGGAGCAGCAGTGGAATTCAAACAGCGCAGAAAAACTGGGCACTCTTGCCAGCCCAGTTCAAGATTTACCTGAGTTCTTAGACCCTCACACAGAACCCCGGGGGCCATCCGGCATTTGCCTTTATTAGAACCCTCCAAAGGGTTGGAGTAGGCTCCCCAGCCACCGCTTTGGCCGGGGAAAGGCCAAGTAGAGCACCTTCCTGGGAGCAGACAAGCTGGAGGCAGAAAGAAAACCCACCTCTGCAGCATCCCGTGTTTCCTGGACCTCGTCCAGGAGCCTCAGCCTGGACCTGCAGGCTTGGGCCTGCAAAGAGCTCTGCCACAGGCTCTGCAGGGGACCCCCGGGCAAGCTACTGAGCTGCTGTGGGCTCCAGGCAGGAGCTGCAGCGCTGGAGTCCATTGCTCAGCGCTTTGCGATGCTGCCTGAGTAGCAGATGGCAGACAGTTACACAACACCGCCGCCAAGCCTCTGAGATGGTGCAGCACCACACCGCTGAGGTGCTGAGGTGCCTCGTTCTGTTTGGCATACGGGGAAACTGAGACCCTGCAGTGAGGGCCACTCCATGCAGGGCCTGCAATGGCTGAGACAGTAGGGATCTCCTTCCAAGGTGCTTGCTTCTTGAATCATTATTTTGTCCTCCACTCAAGTGGTCAAGATTTCCTGCACCTATGGAAGCTGTCAAGAGAATCCAGTTTTGCTAAGTGTCATTAGCTGATCCAGCCAGAGGACACATTAGTCTGAGTTGCCAAGCCAGTGGAAGTCATTAGGACTGAAGCAGATTTCAAGTGGGACTTCGAACATCTGGCAATGAGGTGAGTGACCACGCAGGACTCGGTCCTGGAGGTTTCTCCCATGCTCAGGAGCACATTTAGAACTCTTTAATAATCAGCTTAAGTAACACAGAGCACAGTTGATCCCATTGGGGGATTAGCTATCATAGGCAGTTAATCCGAGTTACTTTTTTCTCATCACAGCCAATATGGGGAGAAAAAGCTCCTAGCAAAAGATTTAACATAGAAGGAAATAAGAAAAATAAGTATGCTCTGAATCGAGACTCTCCTGGTGCCCTAAAATGGATCTCCATTCCTGGTATTGATATTCTTGAGCAAGTTCCTCGTTTCTCTGGGTCTCGGGTTCCCCATCTGTAATGTCATGTTCTCTCAGAGACCCTCCCAGCCCACTCATTTAGGGTTCTGACCGTCCTTGTCCTGGATTAGGACCTCTCTGCCACTCCTGTTGTTGGTGAGTTCTGTGTAAGCTGTTCTCACAGCCGAAGACATTAGAGAGCAAATTGGGTACTGGAGCAGATGTGAGTCATTCATGTTAGTATAAAAACTATGGAATGAAACCCATTATGGACCGGAAAGCTGTGTAAGGCAGCATATGGAACGAACGCAAGCTGGAAGCTGGAGGAAGCTGCGAAGCCCAATGCATATGCTCTGCGGCAGCTTCTGCTGTGGCTTCTCACACTTCGCTTCTCATTTCCTGTATCTGTCTCCCCGTCACTCTCGCTCAGGCCACTGCGGAGGCTGCAGCCTTTGTTCCTTTCAGACCAGATTCCCCGAGTCTCTCCTCTCTGCCTGCTGCATGACTTCAGAGAGGGTGTGTGTGTGCGTGCGTGGCTGCGTGTGTGTCTTGCCGTCTGCACGCTTATTAGACCTGTCACAACCAGCGAGATTCCCTCCGTGCCAACCTAATGAAATTGCACCCACAGAGGCCCCAACAGTTTCCTGTTGAGGTCTTTACCCCTTCTGGGCCACCGGGAAAGGTAAGTGGTGGCAGGGCAGATTGCAGCACAGTGAGGAGATGAGACACACGTACACTGACCCAGTCTTGGCAGGGTTCCCTGGCAGTAAAAAGAGCGGCAGTGAGAATTCAAAGATCTGTCTGTCTTTATTCCACATTCGTACAGATACAAGTGTTTGGGCCAACCCCTGCCGACGGCGCTGTTCAAGCTCTCCGCTGTAAATAATACATCAGCCCCTTTTCCTCTGTGTTCCTCTCTGCTCTCCTTGCCACTGTGGATCCTGTCAAAAACACATGTCCCAGGTCTCCTGCAAGGCCTTCTTATAAAGTCAGTGATGGAACAGTTTAAGCCACGTGGTAAATAAGAATGAGCTGTCACCCCTTACCTCCTGTTTCTGCCACATTGGTGCATCTTTTCAAAAGAATAAAGCCAGCCAGCGTTTCTTCTCATCTTTGACAAGTAGATGGGTAGCTTTATCTAAGGGATCTGACAGTCACCTTTCTGGATCTTTCTCTATCCATTAAACAACTCCTTTCACCATCCTACTACCCTCAACTCCTCTCCCTCCTTTTTCTCTTACATACTGTGGTATAATTTGCTTTGTTGAAAGGGATTTATATCTTTGCATTTCAAAAGCCCACTTCTTTTATTATTTGAAATGCCCCTAAACTTTCTTTGTTCCTCACCCAAATGCCAAGTGTAAAACTTACCACTGCTACAATGACATGTCTTTGCTGGTTGTGGAAAGTGGTTTGATCTTCAGTATGGTGTCCTGCGGGGACCTGACACATGGTCCCCACCCCCCATAGAAAATGCGAAGTGTTAGCATGAAGACATGACCCAATTTGCTTAAAGAAAAGAGGAAAATTCTTTCTCCTGAATTATCTAGAGGGGACTGTGAAATAGGGGGGCACGAGCAGAAGACATGGAGGGGCCCAAGGATAGATGTTACTCCCCAGGTCCCAAATGTTAGACAACCAAATCTGACAGCCACCTGCATCATCTCTGACAGTCAAAGACAGTCTTTCTTTGTGGGCTCCAGCTTAGCAGCATAAGTGAAAAGTAGAAGGGGGCAGGTGGGTTCAAATCCTAGAAGGAACAGAGCTGTGGTGGGGCCTCTCCAATTTGGTGGGACTTCAACAGAGAGAAGAACCAAGAATGCCCCAGAGTGGATGTGGGACAGACCCAGGACAGCCTCTAGTGGCCAATGACAGGTTTTGTAATCAAGTCACTAGCAGATATTGCATATAGAGCAGGGTTACCCCACACCCCAGTTTGCTTGGGACGGTCCTTATTTGTGCTTATTTTTATGGTATAATTATTAACAGTACCATCTTTTACTTTCAAGAAATTTCTATTTTAGACAATAAACTAGATGGACATTCTAATTGACAGGAGAATTTCCAGTGATGTTTCTAGAAGGAAGATTGCTTTTCTTAGATGACTAAAAATGTGGGTTTGCTATTTAAGTTGTTCTGTATGTGTGCTGAGTTTGGGATACCCTAAATTTTCACATGGGACACGTCTCTGAGTAAACAATATTCAAGACATTTATTCAAAGAAAAGACAATGTGGAGAAATTAAGCCAGCTCTAAATAAGAAAGTAACTGTGTTGCCCACATTAGTCATGGCAGTCTTATCCCACCCACCCAACTGAAGGTGCTTTACCCATGTAGCAGCTCATGCATCCCAGGAAGCAACCAGGGTCCTGGGACAGTCTCTTTGGAGTATGAGGAGTCCCTGACACCAGACTCCAATCACTTCTCCAACAACCTCTTCCTCTCACCTTCATACCTACATGGGCCACGAAAGTAACAGAACAAGTGAAGTGGAATGGGTTCCAGTGCTGCCAGCAGGCCCCAGAGCTCCACCCTCAAGGCTTTGCCCCTGAGGCACCAGCACTATGACCCCTCCCTGGGGCTCTACCGCCACAGGTCCTCGGCTCTACTCCTCTGATCCCAGGCTGCCACTGAAATCCGTGGCCCCACCCAGGCAGCTCCCACTGGCTAGCTGGCAGGAACTGCTCCTGCAGTCCAATGCTCTAACAGGGCCCCA